CAGAAATTGCATAAGCTGTCTTTTTTATAGATTAAAAACAAGCATTTAACTAATATGATTGTCACTTTATATGACTTAACATTATAGTAATGTCATCTGAAAAACTTGTCATAGGAATGTACCATTTAATAAAGCAATTGAGGCGTGACGGATGTACAAGATTTACCCGACCATGTCATACATGAACATGATCATTTCATCTTAAAGTATCAGTCATTTTCGTATTTTGTGTTTAGTAGTTAGTCATGTTTCGTTCTTGTTTGTTTTATTTGTGGATATTAATTAAAATAATTTATGTTAATTGCTTAATTGACACAAAAGGTAAGATTTAATAGATGTTTGTGTATTTTTAATTATTCATTTTTTTTTTTTATTTGGTTTTAATTATTTCGAACATACTTCCTCAATAAATATTATCATGTTTATCGAAGAAATAACATCGATACTGGTTGTTTTTATTTACTCGTCATTTTTATTATTCATTTATTAATCTTTATTTATTCCAAATGACAGTATCATGTTTTATTGAAGAGCATTTTTCCTTCTCATGCACCAGCCACTGTCCATTCTATTTTTTTTTTGCGGGGTGGGGGATTCTTGTTTCCTTCTGACAAATATTTTTTTGTTTAAATAAAAACAAAAACAGACTTTTTTTCAATAATATAAAGAAACAAGATTTTGTTAATCAACGCAGTTTTCAATAACTGCTTACTTTTACTAGAAAAAAAAATTTTTTCGCTTCCCTTGTGAAAAAAAAGTTGTGCACCCAACATACTGGATCAATGATCGGTACCTCATGTACCAATACCCTATTAAAAATATGACAAATATCAAGGTAGAGTGAGTATTATAAAAAAAAACTGTTTATTTATATTTCACTTCAGTCATGCATGCTAAACTGACAGTCACGATTTTGATGTATTTAGAAAATTCTGTTTTGTCACAAGAATAAAAGTTTACAATTTTGCATCACTGACCATGAAGCGAACGTTATATTCAATTTCTATTATATATACATCTCGTGACTTTATCATAAACTTGCATTATGTAAAACTCCCGGTATGTGATTTATTTCATAAAACTGTATCTATATGAAAATTACAATCGAAAGAACTCAGATTAGTATAAATTATAGGCCTTATATTACAATGGTCTTCCTTGTGTAAAAGAATACACTTACTACATGTAATTTTCGCTGCCTTCAGCCTTACATGTACATTCCATTTCACACCAAGATGTCATTAAATCAATAAATGTAATCGATTATCCTGCATTTATCATGCTTTATCATAAAATAAGATCAAATAACAAACCCCCTTCTAATTATTGAAATCTATCCATAATATCTTGGTGAAACGCCTTCATGGATGTATTTAATACTTAAACGTATACTGTATGTTCATGTTTCAAATGTATGTTGCATGTTATATATATATAAGAAGATGTGGTATGAGTGCCAATGAGACAACTCTCCATCCAAGTCAAAATTTAGTAAACCATAATAGGTCAAAGTACAGTCTTCAACACGGAGCCTTGGCTCACGCCGTACAGCAAGCTATAAAGGGCCCCAAAAATTACTAGTGTAAAACCATTCAAACGGGAAAACCACAGTCTAATCTATATAAAAAACGAGAAACGAGAAACACTTATGAACCACATCAACAAACGACAACCACTGAACATCAGATTCCTGACTTAGGACAGGTGCAAACAATTGCAGCGGGTTTAAACGTTTTAATGCACGGTTTCCAACGAAAGACTGGTAGGGATATTCTAGTGTTAAAATTTCTTATCTCCATTTTAGCATTATTCACTTTCAAATTGACATTTCTAAGATCTAACTTGGAAGCGGGAAACGTCAAGCTGGAAATGAGAAATGTTAACTTCGAAATGAGAAATGAGAAATGCTAAGTTTGAAATAAGAAATTTAAAAACATAATGTCCCTACCGATCTTTCGTAATTTCACGGTCAAATTATCACATGATTTACAGTTAGAATACAATTTAAAGAAACAATAAATAAGAAACTAATTTTAACTGGACATTTTTATTTCTTTTCTTTGGCTTATTCAAACTTTCTAAAAAGTCAAGTTTTTCTTACTATTTGAAGTGTATATGTATATATGATTTCAAAATTTGAAAGGAAGATTTTTTTTTTTCAATTTCTGTGTATCACACACAAAAATATATATAAGGGAAAAAATGAAAATGAAAATATCCGAAATAGATTAAACTAGGACGTACAAGTAAAGTTTAACTCCAACAATTGAAGAGCAAAAGTTCGTGCGATTTTTAACATTTAATTGATAAGTGGTGTGTATAACCTACTTTACAGCGTATTCGACCTATTTTCTATATCAGTAGTGTATGAACAAACGATGCAAAGAAGCACACACGTTAAATGGCAGTTAAGCTATTCAGGGATTGTTTGAGACCAATTAAAAATGAGAGAGACCAAACGGAAGATTGTTAGGTTGGTTGTTTCTTGCTTAACGTCCAGAAGCAAATATTTCATGCATATGCATGACTAACAAATGAACAATGATACTATAAGTAGATTAATCTACAAGATTGTTAAAACGGGATGACGAAAATTCAACCAATAAGAATAAGATGCCAGCTCTTCTTTCACAGAAAAAAAAAACTGCAGAAGTACTGTTCCTCTTATCGTGGAAGATCCTGGAAGTAAGCTCATTTTGTTTTTTCTGTCGTCGTTAGGTCCAGCCCAATTATCTTGTATATTGTATATAAGGAATGGCCGTAGTTACTAACAGTGAGCTCTTTAATGTTTTTCCCTTAGGAAACATTAATGGTTGATAAAGGGTATAGAAATATGGCCACTCCTTAGAATAGGGACGTTAAATACGGGTGATTGGGACGCTCCCTGCACGTTACAGACCCTTGCAACAACTCTATGATAATTCATTGGGTAGCCGGTTGCAAGGCAAAATGTTTGACGCTACTATCTAAAATGCCCTTTTGTTCAGAGCAGTCAAAATTTGCCACCCTTCATCTCGCTTTATAAACCGTACAGAATCCACATTTTGTTTGGTTGATTTGTAAGTCATAAATATGCATGAAATATTTGCTGTTGGACGTTAAGCAAGAAAAATCAGTCAACCAATCTTCCGTTCGGCCTCTCTATCCTTTTATTGATCTTAAAATGTACACTATCCTCGACTAGCTTTACCGTCGTATTCTTTGTTAACTCGAACCAATAAGGTCCATATAGTATACATATTTTGATGTTTATTAAGATTACATTTTGGATATTAAATCTTAACTTGTTAGCAAAGATTTGATCAATGAGAGTGTCTTTAATAAAGTGTGCTTTTTCCAAACTGTTCCTGATGTTTTTACACTTTGATTTTTCGTTTGAATATGTCACATTTTGTCATACCGGTGCCTTTGATAGCTGACTGCACGGTATGGGTTTTGTTCATTGTTGAAGACCGTACTTTGACCTTTATTTGTTTACATTCACTTCATTTGATATATATATATATATATATATAGTTGTCTGATTGGCAATCATTGGTTATATATTAAGGCATATCTATTTATAGAATAGCAAGCTCCTGCAAAAAGTTTATTTAAATTGTTTATATTAGAACTTAATTTACGCATGTATTGATTTACTTATAAATAATCAAAAAAAATGTAGGTACTACTCTACATGTCGAAAAGTAGCACGCAAAAATGTCTTTTTTTGTTGTTGTATCTATTAAACCTACCTCTTTGTTGTATATGCTTTTTATACAGCTTAAGGTGGTACATAACACTACAGGGAAATAACTCTGTAAAAATCAACTGAACGTTTTAATCACGTTCTATTGTTAAGGAAATATTAAGCTTCTCAATGATCAAAATCAGTGTTTGTCAAACTACTATATATCCAATGAAATTTTTCCAATAAAGTGTGTGATTAAATTTTTTTGAAATTTTTATATTTTTGTCAAAGTAAATATTTTGTCAAAATTTTATGAAAATTAAACGAGCCAATTTAATTTTAGTCAAGTTGTTTGGTACCACCTTAACGCACTAAATTATTTATGTACGGTTATGTGATAGTATCACTAATAGGAGATATTTAACCTTTATGCTCACTTGGTGTCACTTCGGTAATAGTTAGGTTAGAGCTATTTTGACAGACTTTTTTTTTCCAATATTTGATCTTATAATTCATTAAATGGGATTGTATACTGAACTAGCATGTGTCTTCTCTACAAAATTTAAAGTCACAATCCGATATTAGATCTTTCTCGATCCGATCGCAATGCTTGACCACCATTGATTATTCTTTCACTATCATTTTTTGGGAATGACAGCCGTGTAGGAGGGTCTAGATGGGGGTTCCTTCATTTCTCTTTTCTTTACACTTTTTGCGCATTATTCTCTATTCTTTACACTTTTTGCGCATTATTCTCTATTCTTTATATTTTAGCACCTCATTATTCTCTATTCTTTTTTTGTCCATTTTTCTCTATTCTTTATATTTTTGCCCATTATTCTCTATTCTGTAAACCGACATCCTCACCCTCGTGTAGGTGCGATTACGATATTGTCTTGTTTGTTTATACTTTGATCTGTGATATTCAATTTACATCAGTTAACTATATGCATATGTCACATACTTGTTGTTTATGGTTTTTATAGTACATAAAAACAATAAAAATGTACATATTGATTGTAGCATAAAACCATTTGATATCTTAACTGTTGCCAGGGACAGATCCAGGAAGTTTGAAAGAAGGGGGCGTAATTTTGGAAAACGAAATATATATGGTATATACCGCCCAGCGGGGCGATGCGTAAACAAATTTGGGACGATTTTATGCAAAAAATTGATACTTTCTTTAGATGTGAAAAGGGGGGGGGTGGGCGTACGCCATCTACGCTCCCCTGAATTCGCCAATGGTTTTTGAGAGGTAGATAATGGAAATCAATATTTCTTTTTATTATATAACATTCACTAAATAGTTTTGTATTATTCATTTCAGGAAATGTTGCCAGAATTTCAGAATTATCAACAAACACAAAGAATTCCAAAGACTGCATAAATGAAGGCAAAATAGACTTTTCACTGAAGTTTAAATTCGGAGAAAACTTATTATTTAATGTGACAAAAACTAAATCGTCTGCTTTAAATAGACCTGTATACGTTATAAGAAAGGATCCAAAAGGAAATCTATATGTAAAACAAGAAGCATTACTGGACATTCAGGTACTTTATTTGGTATATCATGATAGTTATCAGGTATATTTTGTATACTGACAACCTAAAACATATTATGATATTTTTTTCACATAGCCAACTGCAAAAGTAATATATCATAGCAATTATATAAAGTTCCAGAATTTTAATTTAATAATTTGTTATATGTTAAAATACTTTTCATTGCTCGTGCCTTGTCACTGAATTGTTTGTACGGACCGGGTACCAGAACAGTTGAAGTATCTGCCTTTCAAATAACTTAGTTCATCCCATGTATCAATAGGGTTGAAGGAGATTTAATTGTATATCTAACGAGGCCCCTCATTGGGGTGTCCAAGTAATCACATAATCACAAATGTTTTGCCAATATAATTACGTAATCATTAATTATGTGTTTAAACAAGATAATCAAATAATCAAAAATACAGTCCTAGATTATCAAATAATAAAATAATCATTAAATATTTGGTCTGGTAATCAAATAATCACTATAAAAACGACCAAGTAATCACATAATCAAAAACCCCATGAGGAGGCTCTCTAACTTTTAAAATTTCTGTATAACGTTTTATGAACTGTATACAGCTCGATCATCCAGACTTTTTTTCACAATTGTAAAATAAGAAAAGACCCCCCCCCCCCCCCCTCCTCGGAATATTTTGAATTAAATACCTTTGAGACAGAAATCAATGAATGTATCATGGGAAACGTTTCCTCGACTCGGTACTAGTATCATAAATGTAAATCATAATTACGTTCAAATGTATGGAAAATGTCATTTGAATTCTTGCATGATTAAAGTTGACACTATATATATTAGCCTTTGGGTCATGTACATGTCCAAACAATAAGAATTCTATTATAAAATATGTACAAGAAAATATTTAAAAGTCATGTATCCCATAAACTTGCCTTTTGGCTATGAAAAAGAAGAAAGCTAAGTGATTTTTAGAAGAAGAAAAACTTGTGCAATTTCCCCGGGTTTTGGTAATCGAAAAAGGAGAGAAATTTATCACAGAAAGTGAGCGGAAACGAGAATTGCATCGTTTAAGAAAAAAGCTTGGAAAGAACTTTCCATGTAGATTTTTGTTTGTTTTACTAGGTCTATTTTATAACACGTTTTTTGTTTAAAATTCTCGTGTTCTAACGCAAAATGTTATGTTTTAAATAATCCACCGTCACATTTATACAATTTGAGGCAAAACTAGATTGAATCAAAATCTTTTTGCAATTGGCTATCCATTAGCTGTATCGTTTTCGCATTGTTTGCCTTAATATTTCGTGAATCCGGTTACAACCTGAAGAAATAAAAAAAAATTGTTTTTAAATTCTAACAACTATAATCACAACTTAACATGGACTTGTTGCAAATGTTTTTGAATTTATACCTTTAAATAATTTGCTGGTTTTATTATTTTTATGCGTGAGTGTGTGTTAAATTTTCATACATGTATTTTGAAAAGAAAATGTTTGTATGGAATAAGTAAATAACAATAATACATGCTTTTTGTGTTGTATAAATGTAAAAATATATAAAATCTGTAAAATGTTATCTAGATATAAACATTTTATTCTTTAGGCTACGAGTATGTACAAATTATGAAGATGTAATGTTGATAAACTGCTTTTAGCGAGAATCATTCAATGCAAATTTGTTATTATATACTTTGTAGTCTTTAATATCTATAATTTTCCGTTGTTTTTACCATCGGTGTGGTATTTTAAAAATATTTTTAGAATAAATACATTGAATGTGTTTTATTTTTCAATAATGTTTCTAATCGAAATCATGCATAAAAGGGAAATTCGTATATTGTATAATTCCGCAGGTCATTAATAAATATCTTGTTCTTATATTTCCATCATTTGACGCCATAAGTATAAATGGCTGTTTCTAATCTACCGACTGTAATGCGTGATTCAAAATTCAACCCAAAGTTTTTTTTATATCTCTTGGCATAACTCGGTACCCGGCCTTCAATTCCACTGCCAAACTGTTTTTCATTTCATGAAAACTATGTAAAAATCATTCAATAATATCCGTTTCCCTAAGTATCACGAAACCTCTAAAAAATTTATGTCTTAGTGTATATTAGAAGCACAGACAAAGTAGTCTCTACTGAAACTGTCACATGATGTGCTGAAAACCAGATTAGGTAATATAAAGGTAAAAATTATTGTGCTTTTTTTACTTATAGAAAAGGGCAGATATCTGAATATACCTCGAAACCAAAGAACATGACTTTTTTGTATAACTTGTAAAATAATAGAAGAGGAAAACCACTTTCTTCTATACTGTCAAAATTAACAAAATGTCACATATAAAACTTTTTTATGACATCGCAATAGATAATCCGATATTTCCAAATCTTTCTGATACTGAAAAACTAGTAGTTCTACTAAATCTTTCAAACTAAACCAAGTAAAAAACATGTTCCTTTATTAAACAGTCTTTAGGATAGGGGACACTTAGTCATTTTTGCTTGCATATATATATATATATATATATATTTATATATATTTAAGTTCGTCTGAACCAGTGACAACGCTAGGACATATTTTATCCATCGGATCACCAATGATGGTGATACAAGGCTGAAAACACATTATGTATATATAATTCGTCTGAATAACAGCCCAACAATGTTAGATCTATAATTGTTATGTTCTTCCCTGGCCGGGATTCGAACTTATGCTACTGAGATGCCCGTCGCGCTAGACCACTCGACCACCTAGGCTCGACAAAAATCAAGCTTTCGGTGGCCGGGTGTTACCTTTCCTCGTCAGTTTTTATCTAGCGTCGTAACACAGTACATGATATATAAGGCATGAAGATGGAATATTACAGATCAGCTGAATTATCTATCGTAGAGGATCTTACAAATTAATGTAGGATGCAGTCACAGAAATAATTATATTATAAGTACATCTGAACCAGTGACAACTCTATGACAGATTTTATCCATCGGATCACCAGTGATGGTGATACAAGGCTGAAAACACATTCTGTATATATAATTCGTCTGAATAACAGCCCAACAATCTTAGATCTGTAAATTTGCGGAAGCAAATTTTTGTTCTTCCCTGGCCGGGATTCGAACTCATGCTACTGAGATATCGTGGCATCAAATCGCCTTGTACTATGCCCGTCGCGCTAGACCACTCGACCACCTAGGCTCGACAAAATATATAAAATGTCTGAATAATAGCCAACGATAAATCTTACGAGGCGATGGATCATATAAATATGATACAGTACACTACAAATTATAATGTATAATAAGCAAGTCTGAAAGGGTACAACATCACCAAAAAAAATAGTAAAATCATGAACAAATATTTAATATTTCGGATAACTAATATCCATCATCAGTAAGATGTCAAATGATCCTTATCTTGACATGTGGTAGTCGAACTGAAATAATAATCTTGAACGTTATACAAATTATCACGAATCAATACGCTGGTAAATTTTTTTCAATATTGATGTTTGGGAGGAGGAATAAATTCATTAAACATGTGAGAGTCCTGTACTGAAGCCTGAGTTACAGGAAACAAGTGATGGTAGGGACTCGTTTTATGTTTTTTCATTAATGCCCTCTGGGGAAACTGTCCTTAACTTTCTTATCCAAAAACGTTACCGAGCAAGTCTGTCGGCCCTTGACCAACCCTCGCTGTGGTCTATGATAGTGATGGTAAGGTTTTTGAGATCAGCTTGGGCGTGCCCAAGTGATCTCAAATGAAGACTTACGGGGAGGTCGGGCTTGCAGGCGTAGTCACTTCGATGATATATACATGTATGTTTTCAGATCAGTTTATTTGTTGTTGTTATTATTTGTATTTGTCACAAATATCTTGTTTACTTATATGACAATAAAGAATTATTATTATTTTTCGTTTATTTGCATATTTTTTTTAACATATGTATGCATTTAAAGTAAAGCAAAGTCATCGGAAGATGCTCATAATTCGAGAAAGTATATCATACAATTCTTATCTAACTGTATATTTAAATAAGTTGTTTACTCTCCAAGTATCATTGACTGTATAAGAATGAAAACTTCATAGTTACGTTTCATAATTTCCTATCGCATGACAAAAGTATATAATATACGGATTTAGATTTTTTTATTTTTTGGACGAATTACCCATTGTCGCCTCTGAAGCAAAAGTTTAATCAATAGTATGCTTAAAAGATACAAAATAGTCTAGCTCACTTTTGAGCAAAGACGAAAAAATGTGACAATACCATATACGGGAAGAAGTGGTGCGCTACTAGATTTGCTGGGTATATTTTTATTTCAAAACCATGTATGACATCAGTATCTATTTATATTACGCTATAATCATTATAACTTTTCATAATTATTTTTTAATTACAGAACGTGCAATTCTATGTTGATCCTAATCATGGAGCCTATCTATCATTCAATTGTATACAAGACAATACAGGAATATATCAATTATATCTTGTAAGTACTATATACTGGTTTATTGATAATGATAAAGTAATTAATATGTACAAATTTATGATTGTTATAATATATTGCTTTGTTAATTAATATTGACTACAAAACATGAATTGTCTCACTTCGATATCAAGACAAGACCGGATGTCCGACTTATAATTTATATTGTCTTTTTAGCATGTTCTTACATGGTCTATCAACTGATTGTAAAACGTAAAAGAGAAAATGTAACTATCGGATAATATGATAAAAGAAAGTGTTTTTTTTTTTTTAAATTCTTGAAAAAATAGTTTATTTCCATTGAACCATACATTACGACACAGTAATAGATTGAGCATTGAGTTCAAACTTTTTCCACTGAATGACATTAAATATATGGTTAAAAAATAATGTGTGTATAAGAAAGGTCGAAGATTTTTTTTTTTGGCCGGAGAACACATCCTACCACCCCACCCCCCAAAATTACACACACAAAAAATGAATGGTCGGTGCCTAAAAAAATGAGTGATTCCAAAAAGTCTATATATATATATAGCTATTTCTGGTAAAGACTTGTAGTTATATGAGGTACTGCGTGTGGTAAACATTGACTTCCGAACGATTAGAATGATTGACATCCGACATTTATCTGTCGTCCCCTCCTCTGTCGTACATGTATATAATGGACTGTGTTGACGTTTAAAAATCTATGTACCACCGAAGACTGCAGGTCCGCATACATTTTAACCTTTTTCTTCAAGATTGAAGTTCGGGTCCATTTGCATTTGCTTACGTTACATTTTTGTACTAGTAATTAATTCATTTCATTTGACCCCTCATTTTGTTTTGTGTTTCTTACACATTTTGAAAGGGTTTGTTTATAATCTTCTCTCGCACTTTGACTATGACTTCATTTTTTGTTCTGAAAACGCACGATATACTACAACATTTGGTTTTCGCAATGTCTGCAGTGCTGTATTAAATTCTGATGGTTCTAATTTGTTAAAGTCTGTCTCGAAAAGTTTAGCTTGTTGTGGACCTGTCATAGGGATAATATTTATCAATATTCTTTTATTTTATGAAAAAAATCGCAAAATTACAACAACATCATGTTCTATAATTTATTAGGTTTTCAGTAAAATCAGCCATGCAACAAAAATATTACCATTAATATAAAAAAGATACAGAGAACTTGAGGAATCTATGAAAAAAAAAATAAAACATTACAAATCATACTGCACCAACACAGACACTGGACTCTGAAACGATATAAAAAAAAATATAGAGAACTAGAGGAATCCTAAGAAACAACACAAACCATTACAGATCATACTGCACCAGCACACACACTTGTCCCTGAGAAAAAAAAACCAACCTTAATGTATATAGGTATTTTTTCAGAGACGAGTGTCGGTGGGCACTAGATTCTGGCAATTGATTTTGTATCATTTCGCCTCTCTTTTAATGTTTCTTCAGTAAGGGAATGGCCATTTGATTTTGGGAATATTTTGTTCGGCTGGAATATTAATTTTCATCTGTTTTTAGGCCTTAAGTATAGCCAACCCAGTCATTGAATCAAACCTATGCATGAGGAAAACGGAATAATATGGTCGGGTTGTTGTCTCTCTGACACATTCCCCATTTCCATTCTCAATTTTATTTTATTAATTTTAAATGATATTCTTAGTTTTTTAACAACATATTTTAGTAAAACAATATCATTGATTATGACAATGATTATTCGTGTATCCGGTGGGTGAAAATACTCTTATTATTTGTTTTTTGTTCATCATATAGTAAAAGTAAGTAAGAGATAAATTGAAAAATACGATTTTTTGTAAATAAATATTATAAAAAATGTTTTACACTAGTAGGATCGGAAGGTAAACATTTAAGGTTAAGTGGTGAGGTTAATGTTGATTTCCTAACAGTCATTGAGATTGACATCTGTCTCTTGTCATAATTTCTTGTCATAGTTTTGACTCCGTAACACCACGGTTCATAATAAGATACAGCAAAGAGACATAAAGTGGTAATTAAAAACCATGTTCTTTTGTAAATTGTCGATTAAATGTTTTGTAGGACAACTGAAACTGACACTGATGGGGATTAAGACAGACAAAAATATAAAACATGAAAGCTAAACACTTTTGTTTGCATGTTTTAGTTACATATTATGTATAAAAGCATATTTGACCTCACACTAGGCACAAATGTATTGTGACATTGCTCAAAATGTAAAGTTTGTAGTTCGTAAATCAGAAAAAAAAAATCAGTGATACATGATAAAAGAGAATTTTAACAAAGAAACTTGTCTGAGTCCATTTTTGTACCCATTTAAGTCACGAATAAAAACTAATAAATCACAAATTCATTATCAATTAAAAACAAAATTGTAGTATAAGAAACAAGACGAGGGGCAGGTATTGTATTGAAAAATCATCAAGGCTTATTGTGCCAAAGATTAAAAAAGGGGTTGTATACGTCAATAAAACAGCAACCAAACGACAGAATTACAAAAAAAACTAAGAAGGTGGCATTTCCAGTCTTCAAAAATAGACCGATGTTTTTGCAGTTTGTCAGTTTGTAAATCGTCTCGAATATAAAACTGAATAATTTACACAGAAACAATCAAAGGGCTGCCTTCTACGCCCAATTCTCCGAATAACGAAACACATTTAGATATGACGTAACACAACAAGTGACGATGTTACAGTCTTGAAACTGATTGTTTACATAATGTGAATTATGTAATTGTGAATTAAAGTTACGATAATGACGTACGACATCTCGTGACGAGGGTCCTGACTTGAAACTGATCGTTTACATGAGGTGAATTTTGTAATTGTGAATTAAAGTTACAACATCTAGGGACGAGGTTCCTGTCTTAAAACTGATCACTTACATGATGTGAATTTTGTAATTTTGAATTCAAGTTAATGACGTACGACATCTGGTGACGAGGTTCCTGACTTGAAACTGATCGCTAACATGATGTGAATTTTGTAATTTTGAATTCAAGTTAATGACTTACGACATCTGGTGACGAGGTTCCTGACTTGAAACTGATCGCTTACATGATGTGAATTTTGTAATTTTGAATTCAAGTTAATGACGTACGACATCTGGTGACGAAGTTCCTGACTTGAAACTGATCGCTTACATGATGTGGTGAATTTTGTAATTTTGAATTCAAGTTAATGACTTTCGACATCTGGTGACGAGGTTCCTGACTTGAATCTGATCGCTTACATGATGTGAATTTTGTAATTTTGAATTCAAGTTAATGACGTACGACATCTGGTGACGAGGTTCCTGACTTGAAACTGATCGCTTACATGATGTGAATTTTGTAATTTTGAATTTAAGTTACAATAATGACATACAACATCTAGTGACGAGGGTCCTGACTTGAAACTGATCGCTTACATGATGTGAATTTTGTAATTTTGAATTTAAGTTACAATAATGACGTACAACATCTAGTGACGAGGTTCCTGGCTTGAAACTGGTCGTTAACATGATGTGAATTTTGTAATTTTGAATTAAAGTTACAATAATGACGTACGACATCTGGTGACGAGGTTCCTGACTTGAAACTGATCGCTTACATGATGTGAATTTTGTAATTTTGAATTTAAGTTACAATAATGACGTACAACATCTAGTGACGAGGTTCCTGACTTGAAACTGATCGTTTACATGATGTGAATTTTGTAATTTTGAATTAAAGTTACAATAATGACGTACAACATCTAGTGACGAGGGTCCTGACTTGAAACTGATCGCTTACATGATGTGAATTTTGTAATTTTGAATTTAAGTTACAATAATGACGTACAACATCTAGTGACGAGGGTCCTGACTTGAAACTGATCGCTTACATGATGTGAATTTTGTAATTTTGAATTTAAGTTACAATAATGACGTACAACATCTAGTGACGAGGGTCCTGACTTGAAACTGATCGCTTACATGATGTGAATTTTGTAATTTTGAATTTAAGTTAATGACGTACGACATCTGGTGACGAGGTTCCTGACTTGAAACTGATCGCTTACATGATGTGAATTTTGTAATTTTGAATTTAAGTTACAATAATGACGTACAACATCTAGTGACGAGGGTCCTGACTTGAAACTGATCGTTTACATGATATGCATTATGTTACTTTGAATTAAAGTTAAAATAATATGTCAAACGTTGAAACATGCCGGTAAAGTATTGATCCAATTGGTTCAATATGTTTTGATTAGGATTCCCAAACAAATTTTCATCTCCAAGTCATGAAAATATAAAATGTACTTAATAGTTCAAATTCAATAATATCATTTTTTTATCTGTCATTAGGGTCTTAGAATATATGATTGTTGATTTGTTAACAATCATCCCGCACATTTTTATTTCACGCACAAGAAAGTAGGAAAAATTAAACTGTTTTCCGATTTTTCCGTCCGCCCCTCCGTTCCGTATCGCGTTAAAGTTTTTGTGGAAGCTTTTCGGCCACATCAACTTGAAAATATATATGCCAACCAAGGGTTTTCAGATTTCACTGAACATGTAACTTTTTCATCCTTATAATGTTGCGTGCGAGTGCGACATGGTATCCTATATATGGACGCATATTGTTGCTTGACTCTCAATTTAAAGCAATTGCAAGTGTATTTAGAATTAATTGACGTGTAAGGAATGTAAAGCCTGTTTGTAGCCATTTTGCATAATGTTCATATACTATTTAACACAATTGTTGCAAAGAAATAAATTTGGAATCTAATCAAAATGTTAACTGGGACAAGTTAAGTCCCAAGGATGCTCCAAACCCATTGAAGAGTTCAAGTCAGAAAAAGAAATAGGATCCGATTATCCAACCTAACCAATTGTTGCACATAGACCATTCTGTGTATTTCTGCGGATGGGTGTGTTATTGTTATTGTTTTTGTTTTTGTTTGTTTTTGTTTGTTAGGTTTTTTTGGGGGTTGGGTAAACATATCTGGCAACCCAATTTTTTTTTCATCTAGGTCGATGATATCTGTATATGCATCTGTGCAATAATGATACATATAGATATGCTATTTTCTTAAAACACTGATACATTGTGTATGTACAATATATAACTTATATGTTGACAGACCGGTACATTCGTCCATGATGGTGTGGAATTTACATTATCTCCAGGAAATAAACAAATTGTCTCTAACCAAGAAACATGGTATACAGTTGAGAGACGACTACAACTTCCATCTGGACATCATGATTACGTTCGTAAGTAGGCGTACACCAATTATAACTAAGTTTGTTTAAGGTAGGTTATAGTTATTCATGACTATGTTCGGAAGGAGTCATACACTCTTTTTTCTAAGTTTGCTTAAGGTAGACGATACTGATCCATGACTATGTTCGTAAGGAACCATAAATTCATTATTTTTCAGTGGTTTTTTTTTATAGATAGGCAATATTGATACATGATTAAGTTCGTAAGTAGCCATAAACTCATGGTTACAAAGTTGGTTTAAGATAGGCAATACTGATTCGTGGCTATGTTCGTAAGTAGCCATAAACTCATTGTTACAAAGTTTGTTTAAGATAGGAAATACTGATTTGTGGCTATGTTCGTAAGTAGCCATTAACTCATTGTTACAAAGTTTGTTTAAGATAGGAAATACTGTTACATGACATAGTTCGCAAGTAGCCATAGTTCGGTATAGATTAACAATACTGATTCTTCGCTATATTCGAATGTAGGTCATAAGTGTTTTTTTGTTACTATTTATAAATGGCAGACATGTGAAATAAAATCGAGTGGATAATTTAGCGTTGTTTAATGGAAAAACAAGGAACTGATGATCGCTTATTATGGGTTACGTCGAACCAATCGACTATCGAATCTAGAATCGGTTAATGAAAAGTAATGCTATGTTTACAAAATATGCAACAATTCATCTATAGAACATATTTGCAACGATAATGCATGTATGCGGCTACCATTTAAAGTGGGCTCCAATATTTTCAAAGTATTTATTTATAACTAAATAGAATCGATTACTAAATTTTACCAAAAAAGTAAAATAAAAATATACCGAACTCCAAGGGAAATTCAAAACGGAAAGTCCTTTATAAAATGGCAAAATCAAAAGCTCAAACACATCAAACGAATGGAAAACAACTGTCATATTCCTGACATCATGTTCAAGACCATCATGTAGTATTTGTGAAGTTGATATAGAATATTTATCAACAAGGTCTTGGCATCTTCCAATGAACTTTTTTTAGAAAATGGACAAGACGTTCTTTGTCATAACCCTGGTTCATCAACTTTCTGCTCAGATACTGGTGACGTTTTATAAAAGCTGAGTAGCAGCTGCAAGCTCTTGAAAACCGAATGAGTTGGGAAATGCATATCCCATATGCAGGTGAAGTTGGTATATTGCTGCTAAGGTGGGGGAAATTAATAATTTCAAAATCAAAATAGTCTCGTTTGTCATTGATTTTGATACTGAGATGACCGCTTATGTCAAATTCGAGGTATAAGTCTAGATATGAGGCAGAGGAAGACGTGTCTGTTGTTTCTTTAATTCCTAGTTCTGGAGGATATATAATTGAACCCAATCAGAAAAGTTTGGATTGTTAATGGAAAGAACATGAACATCATCAATATATCTGAATGTGAAATCAAATGATCTGGCTTCTTTGATTTTTTGTTTTTTACAAGTGTTTAAAGGAACTCCGACTCATACGAAGAGAAGAAGAGGTCGGCAAGGAGGGGTGCACCGTTCGTTCCCATAGGAGTGACGACAATTTGTTGAAAAAGTCTACCTCCAAATTCAACAAATATGTTGTAAATAAGAAACTCCAGTATACTGATCACTTGTTCCTCTGTGTAGCATGATTTAACTGTTTGTTCACTTATAGTATCACAAAGCAGTACATTTATAGCGTATGCTACCATTTTTATATTGAAAAGCATTGTTGATTATTTCTTTTAGACGATTTTCTTATTTCACTTGGGGAATGGTAATCTATTTAAATTCCACGTCCAATCGATTTTACATTACAGTTGATCATAAGAACATCGCAAGTGGATATCAGATATGGTATGCATAACAAAACATAGGGTAAACATGGTAAATAATGCAATATAGGAAAGGATGTGATACAAAAAACAATAGCATAACAAAACCTTTTCGAAATAAAAGAACTTTCGATGATAATTTTAAACGTGATTGATATCATATTTTCAGCACTAACACAAGAAATCCCAGCGAAACATATCGACAGAATAAGAGGTCAACTTGAAGTTCATCGTTCCAAAAGACAAGTCAAGATCACACAGCCTTTCATCATAGACGTATTGGTAGTAATAGACTATTCCATATACAAACGGTATGTTTTGTTTATATCTAAGGAGATATGGTATGATTGCCAATGAGACAACTATCTCACTTAAGACCTAAGGACGACGGTGTAAACAACTACAGGATTGTCACCCTTCAACAATGAACAAAAACAATACCGTATAGTCAGCTGTTAAAGGCCCTAGCATGACTAAATGTGAAACAATTCATAAAATAACATCAAAAGTTTAGGCAGTGTTGACATTTGAATATTCTTATTTTATAAAAAATAGATGCATTGCATAATTGTGAAGTACGATGGGTGCGATAAACATTTTGTTCATCAATTAAATGAAATGGGGTGTTTCATCTGAATGAGACAGTAACCAAGCGTCAAAAAAGACATCCATAGGTCAACAACAGATACATGTCTATACAACATTATAAGCTATAAATCGTCCGGAGTAAAAAAACAATGTGAATTAAATTCGGCATAGCCCATTTGAATATTTCATCTTTATTTAAAGTTGTAAAATCTTCATCACTGTTATGCCACGATTGTGTACTTTTTGGAGGATTACATGATAAATCTGATCATTTTAATTGGTAATAATTGATAATTATAACTTAGAAAGGCTTGACTTGTTTTTCGCTCAATGTCAACCTAGCAACAACAAAAAACGATAAAAAAATCAAGATACCAAATCGACTGAAGGATTAACTTTAAACGCTTTATAATAACCTTGATTTCAGATGGTTGTCCAAAACAAAAAATGACAGAACTGCAAAAGATGAAATTAGAAAATATTTTTCTCATTTTATGAATGAGGTAAGAAATATGATTATAAATATATTTTACTTGATGATTAAACAAATTTATTACATTGGTTGCAATGGATTACACTGATTTCCCTGTGAAATAAAAAACCGATAATTTCACATGTGAAATAAACGTGGTTATTTCACTCCTTTGACGTCATACAACAAAAGGCGTTGTCAAGACGTCGATAACGTCGGATCAAAACAAGTTGTGAATGCGTAGAAAAAGATATAGTTCCTTACATTTTCTTCTTTAATTTCATAAAAAAGCCATTTGCCAATGTAATAAAAAGAATAACTAATTAAAGAATTCAAATATCGAAAAATATTCAACTCGTGACCAAACAACACTGATAATTAACTCATGCGCGTAGCACGTTCGTGAATTAATGTGTTGTTCGGTCACTCGTTGAATATTTTTCTCTATTTGATTTCTTTGATTAGTTATTCTATAAATATCAATTAAAACATTATTCTTAGTAAAATACAGTCTTATGATAAGAGTTTCAGTGAATATAGATCCTGTTTCTGGAGAGAAGAAAAACTTCACTAAATGCTGTCTACATTGTATCAATCACGCATGCTCATATGCGTTGTATAAATACTCTTTGAACTTCCCCAATCAATCTTTAGTCAATTAACCAATCAGATTTGTTGAATTAAAACTTTACAATTTATCAACTTTAGATGTCATCAAATGCCTCAGTCAAATATTCTTCTCTACACAGTTAATATCAGTCCCCGAGAGTGTCATCAGGTCATCAGTCAGTACTTCTGATTTATAACAAACTTACATGGATTGTGCGTTTATAAGTTTTGAAAATATTTAAGAAGTTATGTTTCAACTATATCAGGCAAAGTTGACTTGAGATGAATTTGGCTATTACTTGAAGTTCCTTTTGGTAATATAGCTCTTAAACTGTTTTGGTTCTTATACATGATCATACATTTATGGCTTTTAAATATTCGGCTTTAAGTGTTCCTGGTGAATGTAAATACAAAAAAAAAAGCGCCTCAGACGCATAAAATTATAAAGTGTTATCTTCATTTTCTTTTAAAATAATCAAGGATTCCATAAGATACACAAAGAGCAATATCCAAATATAATTTTTTTAGGAGAATGCAGTTAAAGAGATACAAATAAAGGTTATCAAGCTAGCATGGTTTTTTAAAACAACACTATTAAAAATATAATGAAATGTAATTTTTTTTATAATTTGATGAATTAATATCTATATTAGATTTGAATAGCTTGTTCTAGCGGCTCATCTGTACCTCTTAGATGTAGGTATGCCGTCCCTGTCCATCCTTTTGCCACCGATGTATAGATCATTTTTCTATCCATATGTATTATTTAAAAGTCTGTTACCCTTACCGACGTCCATGTGTTGAACCATTCTATCATTTCGATATATATCACTGACCTAAACTAAAGTGTGCTATCAAGTACTGTTTTTGCTTTGCAGGTTGATATGAGATACCAGTCGATACGAGACGATGAGATTAATATCAACATACAAGTAACGGCATTTCTTATAGCAGACGTATGTATGCGACATCAAATTTATTGTATATCATTGTTTAGAAGAAAACAAAACACATCAAACATGAGATGGTTTACAAATGTTCGAATGTTGCCTTGATTTTGCAACAAAATACTTTTGAACATCTATAAAATTTTCCGTCATAAATTCAGAAATTATAGAGAAACTTAGTTTTCAACTCCCTAAGGCAAATTGAGCTTAGACGGATTTTTGCTATCATGTTTAGGTCTTTTTTTGGCAACAGCGCTCTATCCTGTTCGGTACTTATACATCCCTGGCTCTCCGCAAATTTTTGGCTTTGAGCGTTCCTACGGAAGTTAAATAAAAAAAAAACGCTTCGGACATTTATAAAGTGTTGTTTTCATTTTGTTATACTTGAGTGTACACATATAACAATATAGTTAAGCTGTCTTGTTTGCAAGGATGGCCATATGTTTTTACCTTTTAAAAGTTATCACTGCTTTTCAAACAATGGGACGGGTAATGCAATGATGACTGAAAAACCAGTTTGACACATTTATTTCGAAAAATACGTAATTAACAAAAGTTGTTATTGACATTCGATGATTCACCTTACAACCAAAAACTCAACTTTTGTACACAAACATATATTTCAGCTGCAACGAAATCCCACATACAGAAATAATCTAGAATTGTTATTACATCTTATCTTCTATATTTTGTTTTGTGTACTGTTGTTTGTCTGTTTGTCTTTTTCTTGTTTAGCCATGCCGTTGTCAGATTATTTACGACTTATGAGTTTGAATGTTCCTTTGCCTCTCTTTTATTTAAAAATTCCTTTGAAGCTTGAAATTTTAACTTTAAAACATTAACCAACTTAATGTGAAAATATTGCTCTGCTTCAACGGGTGAATGGTTTTATACATCTTTTGCCTCTCCTCTAAAATTGCTAAGTTATTTGCGACTGATTTGTTCCATGTGTCTGGATGGTTCATTGCTAAAATGTTGATGCATCAAATCATTTTCTTGAAAAAATCATAATATTACGAATATAACATTGTTTACACAGCTATAATAATAAATACGACCGCTCGGTAGTCTAGCCGTACCAACGTGCTCGTCCGAGTGTGAGAGGTCATGGGTTTGATCAACGTCCAGGTCAAACCAAAAACTTGAAAACCGGTATTTGTTGCTTTTCCTCAAACCACACAACAATCATGAATAAGAGCAAAGACTGTCCAAACGAAGTCAAAATAATGTTTCCGGGTAAAATGCACGGTTTCCTTGTTAACTAGCACGTTGGAAATCGGGCTTAGCGTGTCGGTCTAGTACAAAACAGGATTCATATCACATTAATATGTTCTTGTCCTGAATATTCATTCAATTTGCTGCTGAACGTTAAACAGCCATTTATCATAATTTATAAATCTACTTATTTAATATCGTTCGACATTTTCTTATGTACTTAAAGTATCCTAGACAATGATTACATTGCATTAGCTTTATTTTATATATTCAGAATGAACAGGCTTATCCATGGAGTGAAGTTAGGAAAGAGAAGTCTGCAACTAGAGACATATTGAATGCTGATGCAGGATTGCGAGACTTTCGTTCTTGGGTTGCTAACACTGTTAATTTACCTCTACATGATCATGCCATTTTATTTACCGGGTAAATGTTGTTGATATATAAACTATGTAGATATATTACTTATTTTATTCACTGTAAATCATATTATTTACGTCTTGCCTTCCATTCTTGTCTAATGCAAAAAAATTTAATGAGGTAACTATATGATTAGGAAATAATGTGCAATGTAGAAAGTATATTATAACAGGTATTCTTTACTGAAAAAAAATATACCCATGTCTTTGTCTCATAAAATATATATTTTTATCCTGTATTCTATAATTTTATTTGATACAAATACTGACTATAGTAGTTAGAAAAGTCTTCATTTTGTATCTTTTTTCTTTCAGTTATAATTTGTATACAGAGGTGAACAAATACAAACTTTTACACACAGCTGGTAAGTAAAGTGTTTTGTATGGATTAGAAATATTACTTCGGATGAATGAAATTATAACGAGTCAACAGCAGTTTATCAATGTTCAAATCTCGTAAATTCATTAAGAATACACAAATCAAGATAAAACAATAAACCCGATGGAACCACTTAAGCTCGAAACTGAGCGAGATCAAGATTTAATGCATGCATACTGAGATCAAGATTTAATGATTTAATACAATTCTTTATTTTATTTTCACCGTTACTGCTTACCAACATCAGTTGATCGAGGCTTTTAATTCCATGTTTGTACTTTTAATAAACCGAATGCTTGTATAATTTAACTGACCATAGATACCTGGCCTAAAAATTATGTACGCTAGACACGCGTTTCGTCTACCATATCTACAAAAGACTCTTCAGTAACGCTCGAATCAAAGTTATAATGCACTGAGGACCCAAAATTCCAAAAATTCCTGAGATAGAAAATCCTTAGCATTCTGAAAACTTCAAAGTTTTGTAAACAGTTAACTGATAATTATGACCATATCAAGGATACTAGTAGTTCATGTCAACACAAAAGTGCTGACTACAGGGCTGGTAAAACCTTTGGAGAGGAAACCTCTACCAGCAGTGGCATAGACCTTTAATAGATCTTATATTTAGAAAAAAGAAAGCATCATACATACATACATACATACATTCAGTATATAATGAGAATTTGTCTTCTGAATGTAAGCTGTTCATCTTTAGATTTGTAGATATTAAGATATTATATGAATTTTAGGTTTCTTTTCAGAGGGTTTGGATGGATGGTCCTTCATTTCTGTATTCTTTCATTTTTTATACCATTTTTCTTTATTCTTTATATTTTTTGCCCATTATTCTCTAATTTTTTTTATATTTTCAGCCCATTATTCTCTATTCTGTAATCCTTCACCCAAACCCTCTTTCTTGTCATTCTCCTAGTCTTATCTTTAACGACCGCAACAATTGCAAGCTTTGGTCGTATGTCTAATGACATTTATCATTTTGTCAATACTAAGAACATATTGTCCTTCTTTCGTCGATTATCGGTTTCTTATTATTCCCTTTAAAAATTAATATGATTGGTAGCCTGATAATAGTTTATTACCTTTTTATAGATTAAGGTGACATTAGTTAACCGATGTTCAAAGCGATTAAGACGAGACAAATCATGTTAACAAATAAAAACCGACGGAATCGCATGGACCCCAGAAGGAGCGAGACCGAGTGAGTTGACAGAGTGATCGTCTCTTGCTATGCATGCATCAATCGCCATGCGAATCATCGACATTTATTCAATCGGGAACAGGACACAATCAATAAAATTAAAGATCATACGACTATACTGGTATCTAAAGATCTTAGACAGCGAGTACTGGTATCTAAAGATCTAGGACAGCGAAAACGTGTCGCTGGTTAATTGAGACACCGACACAGCGTATCGGTCTACTAATTCGTGATGGTAAACGTAATACTAATGTAGTGTCGATTTCAATATTTCTGTCTCTCTGTTGTAACAGTTTTTCTGTAAAGAGTACATCCTTGTTAACGAAGTACGCATAATGTGAACATGCACCAGCGGAACGTAATTACTGAAATATGACATAACACTGAGAAGTGGAAAGTTGACAATTGGAAAGTTGAAATCATCAATGAAGATTCTACTTTGACGTCGTCCATCTGAGTCACTATTGAGAAAAAGATCAAGATATGAAGCAGACTCTCTACTTTCGGTTGTGTTCTTAATATCAAGTCTGGGATACACTTTTCTTTTTTCTTCGAGAAGGTTTTGTAAGTATTCTGCTTCATGTGAGTTAACCAAAAGTAGTGTTGCACAACTCGTATCCATTGGAATACCGACTGTCTGCTGAAAAATATATCCACCAAACTAAAAAAATATATTGTCGATCAAAATCTAATGTCCAGCATTTAGATGATATCATCGTCGGTGTATTTGTTGTAATAATATATAAAATCTTAATTCGAGCAGACCCTTTCTTTAATGATTGTTTTTATAATATAAATATGAAAATATACTGAGTTGTACTTTGTCAGGTTTAGCTTTCATTGGCTCCTTATGTAGACCAAATGGAGATAGTGTTTCTATAGTAGAAGACAATGGTGGATTTCAAAATGTTGGTACTGCTGCACACGAGCTAGGACATAGGTATATAAAATCAAGATATGTCTAGCATGTGCCAACTTAGCTAACATTAATGTGAAAATATATTTTATGTTTATAATTGTTTGTTCCATTCTAGATTACAAGGTTTAGCTTACCTAAGACTGCACACTGAATTATGTCATAAGGCGGTTTCATTTGTATAATGTTTACGCAAGCTACTATATTTTAAACTTTGGTCGGACTAAATTAACTTTGAATGTTTTCTTTTTCCTTTCAATGTCATTTTGGTCCTCATCTTTATGTTTCAATTATTCATAATACTGATGACATGGCATTGTTACAAAATAATTATTGCCATTAACTTTGCAGTCTTGGTGCCTTGCATGATGGTGAGAAAAATGGATGCCTGTCTTCTGACAGATACGTTATGGCGACATCTACAAATCAGACGATCCCAGTAGAGAAAAGAATCAACCAATGGCAGTTTTCGCGGTGTTCTGTTGAATATTTCCGTAGTTTTATATCTGATTTAATGAGGTATGTAACATACTATATGATAAAACTTTTTAAACGTACATGGTTTATGTAAGAAACAGTAAAAAGTGTAGAAGTTACAAAAGGGACAAGAACGTTATAGATTGGAAAGTCCGCCTGACCTAGTTCAGGATGCTGCTTAGCTTCTCTTTGTATCTTATCCTTTTTGCATATTTGAACAAATTAAATATGTCCATAATAAAACTCAGTATTAGTGATGCAATGCTTATTATAGTTATTCTCGATTAATAATAAAACAAGTAACATCTATCACGAGTTTTACACGAGATCTACCAGCTGTGCATTTGTGAGCTCATGGTAACACTTTAATAGTATATTTGAATGATATTGAGGCAATGACCACCCAATTGACGGAATAAATTATTACAAAGTCAAGTATGACATGTATGACAGATAGTTATATAAAAATTTCCATGCAAAAAGTGGGAAATGTCCCTGAGGCAAAAATGAAATTTGAAAATTCTAAATGCTTCTTTAACTATTATTATCCTCAGTGGTGACAAGGGATTTATTGTACAAGTTTTATAAATGCAGATCTGATGTTAACCTGGCAGAATATAAAACATTGTCAGAATGGTTTCTATTAATACTGATTAGTTTTTGTAATAATTCATTATTGCAGCAAAGGTGCTACTTGCTTGACAGAGAGTTTTACAGATGCTCGAGTTGTGGACTCGAAAAATATGCCAGGACAAGTCTTTACTCCAAACCAGCAATGTCAGCAGATATGGGGAAATCAGTCTTACATTTGTCAGGTATATAGTGATTTTAACAATACGTACACGTCTAATCAAAGATTTAAAAATTCCAAAGGAAAATGAATTGCTGTATTACCAACAGTCAAAGAACAAAACCAAAGTACTCAGCAAAACAAACTTTAACAAAAGCTCCCATTTATAGTTAATTATCATAGCTAAATCAAGTGCTTCAAGAAAGATTATCATTTGTGATTTAGGTCTATAGTTAGTTGTAGATGTGGATTTAAAAAAAAAATTCTGTTCATAAAGTTTCATTACACTGTTTACGAACTAGTTCCCTTAAAAGGAAAGCAGAGAGTATTTAATTTTATTTCAGAAATAATTTTAAGAATGATTCTTAGATAAATATCACTAGACTTAGTACATTTACAGTAAACACTTATTAGTAATTATAAATCTCTTGTTTTATACATGCAGGGAACAGAATTTGGAAATGCCAGTAGTATATGTACCTCTATGTACTGCCTTGATCCAAGTACGGATAACGACTGTGTACTACAAACAGCAGTTAGAGGAACATCTTGTGGCTTTAGAAAGGTAAACATCTTGTTAGTCTCGAATTCACTATAAACTAAACCTCTTATTACGTCTGTTTGGGTTGCTTACCCAATTGTGTCAATGTAACGAAACTATACACAACTAATATACACGTGGGAATTTTAGCTAAGTATAAAACTAGGTTTAACCCAATATGTTTTTTATAGAAAATGCTGTAACAAGTCAGGAATATGACATTTGTTTTCAATTCGTTCCAGTGGTTGATTAAGTCTCATGTCTGATTTTGTCAGTTTTTATGGACTCCCCCTTTGAATTTACTTTGGAGTTCAGTATTTGTGTTATACTTTTTTCTTGAATAAGTTACAAAATAACACGTCTGAAATAAACTCGTCCTGAATATCAGGCTTATAATTAAGAACGAAATACGGGCATTTCGTCAACATCATTTTCCAATAGCATTTTATAAATAGATAAAAATATCAAAGATACCAAGCATATAACTTTCTACCTCAGACTCCCGCGTCGACATCAAAAGAGTCATCAGTGATGCCCGAATATAAAAAGGCCAAATCAAACACGAAGGCGAAGAGCATTGAGGACCAAAAATATACAAAGTAAGGTAATCTATTCAAGGCACTCCTAACGACTTCTAACAATTCAAAGATTTGTACACAGAAATCCAGTCAATTAACAGAAAGTGGTCATATCAATGATATCAGCTGACTGCTGGGCTTTTGATCGATACCACTGAGAGAAAACTTCAACCAGCAGTGGCATCAAAAAAGTGATTGTAAAAGCTCATCGAATATATCGGGCTTATCAATTAATAATTCAGACTCGCATTTAGTCAACGAACGACTCATCAGTGGAGTGTGAATCAAATTAGTTAGAAGACAGAATCAATTACTAAGTTAAAGAGCATCGAGAACCATAAATACCAAAGATATATGTCAAATCCGGCTATATAATTTATGAACAGTAAACTTGCAGGTCATGACAGTATCAATGATATTCCGTGTTAGAAAACTGGAAAAGTGCGACTCTTGTGGACGAACTGCCACCAGCAGTTGAATCAACCAAGTGGTAATGATATCTCATCAATATATAGGGCGTATAAATTAGTACGCCAGATGTGGGATTTTTCTACATAAGACTCATCAGTGGCGCTCGAACTATGGCCAAATAAAACGCTGATGAGGAGCTTTGAAACCCTAAATTCTAAACAAATAAACGTTTGGTTATACCACTTTGACAGACGAACATATCTTTTGACAACTCAAACGGATGGTCAATGGAAAATCACACAATTTGAAGATTTGTGTTGCCTCAACCCGCCTAACAATATGTTTACCAAACTTTAAACGCTGTTCGTACACAATTCAACATGATAGTGCTGCTTTTTGCGATAAACAAATGAATACTAACTAATACCACAATTAAAAACATATCATTGGTAAATAAGTTTAATACAACTTTTTGTTGGGGCACCTATCATATGAGTGAAGGTAGGATCATTTCTAGAATCACTTTGTTGGTGCCACTGCTGGTTGAAGTTTACTCTCGATGGTATCGATCACCAGTCCAGCATTCAGCTAGAATATCAAAAATAGAATAAAAGCATGTATATCTAGAACAATTTAATTCTTAAAACCTTTCAAACGTTTTTCAGTGGTGTATTGAAGGCCATTGTATTTACTCTGATGATGCTCCAGAAAAAGATGGTAATATGACATAAATAGTAGTATCATTCATAATGAACCAAGATTTGCTATCTTACATTTGAATTGCTGTCTTAATTTTCCAGTTAAAATTTGCATCAGTTTTATCCTTTGAAAAATGCTTTATTAGTTTATCAGTAGTCCTGTATTATTAAAATATTGAAAAAAAGATTCAAGCTAACTTTCTATACGAAACATTTTACTATTCCATCATGAATTAATATCACTGTTGGGGTCAAAGTTGTTTGAAGATCCTTTTTTACAAAATGATGATAAATGTATATTAATTTCCGTTAAACCAAGCTCAGTATCAAGTAGAATGAAAATAAACTCATCATATATACCAAGATTAAAAGTGTTTACGTCAGACGCGTGTTTCGTCTACATCAGCGATGCTCGAATAGACAAAGTGAAAAGGCCAAATAAAGTACGAACTTGAAGATCATTGAAGACTTAAAATTCCGAATAGTTTTGCCAAATACAGCTAAGGTGATCTTTTCCTGGGGAAGAAAATCCTTAGTATTTCGAAAAATTCAAAAGTTTTGTAATCAGATATGACTGTAACTAGTTTCATCCTAATTTTTAGATAAATGCCCACATGGTGATCAGCCTGGCGTAGCATTTGTCGGACAAACATGCGAGGATCTTGTGAGTACGACACCAGCATATTGTTATCAAGAAAAGGTCAGAAGCAGATGTTGTGCTTCATGTGCAAAGCTTTTTACCTGGCAAGCAGGTAGGAAAACTGTTGATATATTTTAATTATTTTGAGAGTTTTATAATAATGTTTGGAATATAATCAACAAATCTTGTAAACATGTTCATTTTAGTCTCAATGTTCATTTATCTTTAGTCAAAGTATTAAGAAGATTTCAGTTAGTGGTCTCTGCCACTTGAAATGTGATTTAAGCATTCTTATTTGAACCTTCCTAAACTGTATCATTGTTAATTGTAATAAAAGCTATTCACCCAAAGCTTTGAACTTTGGCTGTTCTTATATGCCCTTTCAATTTTACAGAAATAAATATTTCAATATCTGTAGTGTTGGGTTTGTTTACCTTATTAAATTAAAAAGTCTGATGTATGCAAGTGCTGTGTGTGCTTCTTGCAAAAACATGTGTTTAGATAAAAAGATATTACCAAAAATAGTATATTCATTTCATGCAACTTGATTTTATAAATGATATAGTATATGTAATTCAGATAAAGTTTGAAATAGGGCTATCGTATTGTCAACTTTTTCAACTAAATGAATGTTACATGTTTTCCTCTCTCATCAGGTTGTGAGTATGGTGATAGAGTAAAGGGTTGTCAGCCATGGCACTGCACAATCAATACCCAAGATACACGTGACCTCAAGTCAGAGTGTTGTTCTACATGTAAAACAGGTATCTCTATTCCAGTCACACAGAGACCTACATACACAATTAGTCCATATACTACAAAGGCTCCGCCAGTAACACCTGATATGCACCCATGTGAGGATATTGCTACTATCAATGGATACATGTGCGAAAATTTTATCGAAAAATATGGCAGACATGTGTGTTACGATGGTGTTGTAGAATCCCATTGTTGTCAGTCTTGCAAAAGAACACAGATTGGACATAAAGGTGAGTGCTTTGTTTCAAATAGAAATCTTGCTACTGCATCTAAATTTCTCGTAACTGTAAGTTTTGATACAGTTTTCATAATAAATGTTTTCGTGATACTAGAGAATGAATATTTCGGTACTACTATATAAAATTTAATTCATACATACTAATTTCCAAAATATATACTTATAATATTTCGTTTCTGCAGTTTGAAAGGAAATCCAAAGTTAAAAAATTTGTTATTAATATACATCTAACAGAGAGACTAAAGATACCAAAGGGACATTCAAACTCATAAGTCGAAAACATACTGACAATGTCATGGCAAAAACGAAAATCAACGAAAAGAGAAACAGCAGTTCACAAAACACAACATAGAAAACTAAAGACTGAGCAACACGAACCCTAACTCAAACTGGGGATGATCTCAGGTAGTTTTTCATATTCAAAAAGAAGAGAAATAATGGTTTTAACTAATTGCAAATTATTACACTTTTCATATTTCAGATTGCTTGTATGGTGACAAAAACCCTTCATTGTGCCAACATCATGCAGAAAATCAGACATCCATTTGTGGTGCTTTAAAAGATTACTGTTGCCATTCTTGTAGTTTGACCTTAGGGTTGAACTCAGGCTCATCCATAGTTACATGGACAATTTTGTCCATGGCAACCAGTTTAATAGCTTTAATAAATCTATAATTTTAATACAATTTAAAACCTACTGTAACAGTGCCAAACATGTTTTGCTTTTTTAAACAGACTGCTAGTCATTTTTATTTGTTTTAAAATGTTGTTACCTAATATTGTATATTTTTGTTTACATCTTTAAGGATTGATGTATGTTGGTCAGTAATGTGTACTATAAATTTACAGAAATTTCTTGAAATCATTAGTGTATTACCTATGCAATTAGAGCATAACATTTGTTGACAACGGCCACTGGACGTAAATCAAACACCAATCAATCATTGTCGCAAATATGTTGTATAAACTTATATATAAAATTAATATTATAAGAGCATATCCCAAAATAGAAAAAGATAAGGCATCAATTAAAAAAACATTGTCGCCCTCCATTCATTTTATTGACTGTATGCAAATGCAACTAATCAGCTATTTTGCGATGACATGAGGAACACGACTGCCGCCATGAGCTGAGCAGGAACTGCTTACACTTCTGGAATACCTTATTTGACAATGGCTTTTTTGTTGCAGTTTAAATGGCTAAAGCGAATTTTCTTTGCTTTTTGTGGACTGTTGTCTTTTAGATTTTCGTCTGCCTGTCATCAACCTGTTTTTATGGTCCCTTTAGTATCTTCTGACTTCTTGATTACCCAGATTTAGCATTAGTTACATAAGAGTATAATGGAATATCTAATATATATTAAGTGACAACCATGAATGAGTCGGCCGTTTGAGGCATCGAATATGAAGCTAATGTACAAATCCTGAAATATACTTGAAAATATGCAATTAGAGACAAGCCTAAAATTATTTTAATTCTAGTCTTTTTCATTATGCGTTATGCATCCGAATTGTGAGACGCTCAAAACAATAAGAAAAGCAAAACCATGGCCAGAAAAAAAAAAACGAAGAGACAAACTTTAATTCACAATACAAATCACCCAAAACTTTAGATTGAACAAAACCCACCAAAAACCATGTGTGAACTCATATGCCTTTGAAGGGTAAGCAGTTGTAATTCTAATAGAGATCAAATATAGTATTACCAACACGTAATACATTATTTAAACTGCTGCTTAATCACTTATCTTTGCTTTAGGTCATGGCAAATAAAATTGTTAATTCTTAAATTAAAAGCTTAGAGTCTCTGCATCACTTTCACTAATCTGTTAAATGTGTAATAATTTAAAAAGTCTTCAGCTGGTTTTATACAGCCGTGGCACTAAAAAATACTAAGAAAGGTCTAAAGCTCAGATATTGAGCAGAATTATCTAACACCTTTATAGTTCAATCCAGAATTCTGGTAATCTCCAATTAAAATGTATTTCTCTTTCTAATACAAATTTTAAGTAGAAGTACAGAGTTTTAAACTGAAGTTTTTTACTAGATGTTTTATTGTTCAAAATTGTCATCAATCTTTTATTCTTGCATATTAGCATGTGAAACTTTACTGATTACATCAAACTGAACACAGTCATAAAATGCATTTAGATAACAGGTTCTCAGCTACAAGCATAGATTAGAATGCTTTTGAATAAAAATAAGAAAATGTAGTATGTTTAGGTATAGTAAGGTCTTTTTCCTTAACATCAATGGATAATCTGTATCAATTTTAAACTAATAGAGTATTTGTTACCGTAACTCCTTGTGATTTATTAAAATATTTTTTGTCTGCACTATAATTCATCATAAAGTTATTTTTGTAAAGTTGTATTGTATTTCACTGTTATATCTACACTGGAATGTTATCTTTGTATTGAGCTTCATTGTTAAGTTTTATCTCTGAAAATTTTTTCATATCATCATTCTTTTTAGAAAAAAGGCAGGTAACTTGCTTTAAAGTAAAAACAAGGAATAAAAGGGGAAAAAAAACACTTCAACAAAATATGTTCATGACAAAAAGTAAAAACAAGGAATAAAAGGAAAAAAAAAACACTTCAACAAAATATGTTCATGACAAAAAGTAAAAACAAGGAATAAAAGGAAAAAAAAAACACTTCAACAAAATATGTTCATGACAAAATTGTATTCATACTAAAAAAAAAGGAGGAAGAGAAAAAATCACTTTTGGTGAAGAAAAAAAATTTTAAATTAAAGTTTTGTGGTAATTGTATATTTTTGGAAAATATGAATTTTGTTGTGTGAAGAACTGTTAAGAAAAACGGTATATTTTTACATAATCTATACAGTTTTTTTTTATGTTTGCATGCTCTCACTTTTGACCATATACATCATACAGTGCAGTGATATCACAGAAGTGGAAAAAGTGGAAAAATAGTAAATTAGTTACAAGAATTTTATAAAAAAAAATGAAATGATGCATTTTATGCAGGTCAGTACTAAATGTCCAGTAGCTTTAAATCAGCTTTTTTCAAACAGTGTTTAATGGTAAAATTAATAAAAAAATCACCAAAATAATTTCAAATCAAAGATATTCATCTTTCTTCAAATGATGGTTTTTTTTAAGTTTTATTTTCATCTTATTTAGACTATATTTTTTTTCACATTTGTAATATAGAATAATAGCCTTTTTATTTTTGATACTGACTTTATCTGCAATGATATCAAGCCAGCCTGCATGGGTGAGCTGATATTTGAACTGATGAAGTCAGTTTGAAAAAATAAAATGTCATTATTCTGATTATCAGCAATTTTGTCTTAAAAATAAGTTTTTGGTTGAGAATATGAAATAAAATTATTCTTATACATACAAAACGTTGTGATAGTTGTTTGGTTGTATGAATGAATTCGCATGAATTTCATCAATAAATTGACCAGATTGACATGAACGTGTGACGTTGCTGCACTGTTACGTGACGTCATTGCCTAATATTTTCAAGTTTCATGTCCTGTCCATGATATGTAAAAATATTAGGCAGTAAGATCAAAGGGAAAATGTACAAATTGCCAATAAAACTTGCTTTTAATACATGTAAACGTATGATACACATTGTCAATGTAGGATGACTGCTAAACAATGTCTTTTCTACAAATATATTCTGATGAAATCTTATTTGTAAAATATCACATTTATTTGTACATGTTTCCATCACTTCATATAGTTAAAAAAAAATTGTTATTTAAACCATTTACAAATTTCTGAAAGGGACTATTGTCAATTGTAACTTTGTTATTTTTTGGAAAATAAATGAAGGTTTTAAAAACATACCTGCCATACGAAATTTTCTGCCAGAGAAACAAAAGTATTAAATAAAAATAAAAATAAATACAACTTAGAAGATTTAACAATTAAGACCATTGTTATTTATGTTTTGTAAGGCCATTTTTCAATGTTTAACTAATTGTGAGTTTTGTTTTCAGTTCTTTAAGAGATTTTATCTATGTGTTTCTTACTTTTTTTATTCAGTTTATGCACGATTACACTTTGTGATGTATGAGTTACATATTTTAAGAGTATCAAATGTTAATCATAATATACATCATTACAAATCATTTCTATCAATCTGTTATTTTTTTCATCAATATGAATCATATCATAATGAAAAAATAAATAAATATGTTCATAAAATGTCTAGTTTATTGTCTTCTTCGTGCTATTTAGATATACAAGTTTTATGAAGAATAAAAGAACAGAGTTCCAATGTCCCCCTAGTTGCATATATTTTGTTTATCCAAGGTACAAGGGCAATAACTAAAAAAAAAAACACTTTTTGCTGATATAAACCTATGATATAAATTTCATAAATATCTGGCAAGAATTGTACACATGAGAGTGCTAACAATGCAATTTTCCATATAATCAATATTTCCAGGGCCATAACTCTTAAAAATTATTGATTGGCACTGATTTTCCAACTAGTCTAAAACATTGATGATATAAACCTACAATACCTATAATATAAATTTCATAAAAATCTGGCAAGAATTGTACACATTAGAGTGCTCATAGGGCAATTTTCCATATAATTAAAATTTCCAAGGCCATAACTCTTTTAAAAATAATTGATCGGCACTGATTTTCGAACTTGTCAAAGACATTGCTGATATAAACCTATGATATAAGATTCTGGTGAGAATTGTATACATGAGAGCGCTAACAATACAATCTTCCATATAATCAATATTTCCAAGGGACATAACTCTTTTAAAAATAACTGATCGGCACTGATTTTCAAACCTAAAATATAAATTTCATAAAAATCTGGCAAGAACTGTACAGGTGAGAGCACTTACAAGACTGGACAGATGAAGGGACGCCCGGTATTTTGATGTCCCCTGCAACACTTTGCGCTGGGGACAAAAATATATGTATGGTCTAACAAATCCAAAATTTTTTTCTCATTTTGAAGCACAAAGAAAGAATGATAAAACTCAGAATCCTACACAATACGTAAATTTAAAAATTTGTTTTTGAAAGTTTAAATCAGGAAGATATTTGGTAGGGGAGGCTACTTGCTGATCTAGTTGCCTTATACCCCTCAAACACTTTGATTCATGTGCATACTTTAACAGCATTTGTACATACAAAATTCCTTTGCACTATTCTGACATATAAAAATGTCTTCTTTATTATACTGTATATCTCCCACATTCATGAAATTTGTAAATGATAAAAAGAATTAGAAACAAATTTTTATTCAATATCAAGACTTCTTTGACATTTTCCTCATCTGCCAATTGTCAAATTTACTGAATGCTGCACTCAACAATTCGTCCATATGACCAGTGAGCTGAAAGATACAAGAATTTAAAAAATTTAATAAATAAGATTTCTCTAAATCTTTACAGATTTATACTTTTCCAGACCTATTGATTATTTCTTTTTTTTAAGCAACAAGAGGTTTGTGGGATCTCACTTCTTCATTGGTCAAAATTCATTTATGATGTCAAACTCTCTTGCTTTCCACCATGCCTGATGATGTCACATATAAAGACCTCACCTTTTTGCAGATCATTGAAAAAAGAAAGATAAGGTTTGTCTACAAGTAGTCTAAAATCATTGAAGAAATAGATTCCACAACCAAAACTTGTGCAATAAGATATTTCTTCACTCTCAACATTTAAATTTTAAATATAAAAAATCTTGGGAAGCCAAACCTTTTGAATATGAAAATTTAACTATCTCAAGAGGAGAAGTATTGCTTCACACTCGATGCAGTGGTAGAATCTTTATTTCAATTTCACTCTTATTATTTTCCTTTTGTTATTTCAAGCACTATATATTAACAAATTTTAAGGGAAACTGATACACAAAATGCAGTCAATAACAAGTAAAACATTGAGCTATTGCTCACTAATGATACCCCAGCTTTAAGTTTACAATAATCAGTACGCTAAAAAGAAAAGAATCTGAAAACGCATTTCACAGTAAAGCATGATCGCATGGAAGATGATTAGAAATTTCAGGAAGCTCTGATTTGTAGTTCCCAATAAAAATGTGACGAATTTCATACATGGCCTATGTGTTAGAATAATATATAAGTATTCGGTAAACAGAAAGTTGATGAACAATAAATCTGAAAACAGTGTTAAACAGTATAGCGTGGTGACATGAAGCCTGATAACAAATTTCAGGAAGCTCTTATTTCTACTTCCCTAGAAAAATGCAACTAAAATTTCCTCCATGACCATTATGTTAAGTATAACAAATATTTAGTAAACATGAAGTAAAAAGATAAATTTTTAATTTGTCATATACATTAAAAATATCAATGCATTCCTTAAATCACTTACATTTAATGCATAATGGTACTGTTGTATACTCTCTTTCAAAGGATGCAACTTAGCCATCTGAAATTTCTCAAGTGTGCTTTTCATTCTGACAACCTGAAATTTTGGGGATTAGTATTATTATCTGTAAAAATTGTAAGAAAAATCAGACACAATCGACTTATCCCCTCTGTATGATTAAAAGTACAATTGAAGCTCATTGTGCAGTACGTTATTAATTCACAAGAAGTCTGTACATGGTTAATTTAGAAGAAATCTGTATGTGGTTAAAACAGGAGAAGTCTGTACGTGGTTAATTCACAAGAAGTCTGTTCGTGGTTAAAACAGAAGAAGTCTGTTTGCGGTTAATTCACAAGAAGTCTGTACTTGGTTAAAACAGAGGAAGTCCTAACTATTATTACAGTTTTAAACTTTATAAATGTATTCATCATGTATCAATTCATTGATAAACTACAACAACTTCCATACACATGTTTATAGTTTGTTTTTAGAATAAGTCAGGCCCTTGGTTTTCTCTTTTGAATTGTTTCACATTTTCTCATCACTGGTCTTATAGCCTACTATATAGGAGGGGTTTGGTTCATTAATGTACGTTGAACAGTGTCCTTTAGTTGTTAACATCTTCATTCGTTTGTCTCTGGTGGATAATTGTCTCATTGGGAATCATACCACATCTGACATCTCCTTATTTCTATATTTTCTACTTCAAAACAGTTTTATTGAAACTTTTTGTTACAAATTTTAGAAAATCATTTAAAATTAAGGAACGTATCTCCTTCATGCAAAGCTCGGATTCCTTGTCTGTGTTTTGTGTATACTTTAGGTCCTTTTCATGTATATCGGCTCTTGAACGTTTGTATTTACAAATATTTTGGCCTAGAGGAGCACTGTAAAGACAACTATTGTCGAAATGTGCATCTGGTGCAGTAAAAATGATACTCGGTAATGTAACAATGTTTCAAAACTGATCTGTAACAACTTGCTCAGTGACAGACAGAGTCGAGCAGTTACTAGACCCGATTCAGCCAACGACAACGCAGGAAATAAAATATGTTAAATTTGAAGTGTCTGAGCATTTTTTTTTATATTTTCATTAGGAACACTGGGAGGCAAAAGTGTGCAAACAAACAGACATGAGGGTGTGGATGGCTGTTACATAATAGAGTTTAATGGGCAAAAAATATACAGAATAGCATAACTCTAGAATGGTAAAAGTGACGCCACCGAAATTCTACCTTGATCTGTGTTTTGTGGTAATAAGCATTGTGTATAACATTTGGTTGAGGCAAACTAAAGTTAGAGAATGGAAACCAATTTTTCGAGAAGTATGGACGACGTACAGACGGACAAGGATAAAACTTAAAGCCCTCTCTCTACGGCGGGGCATAAAAATGGACCAAAAACATAAAGAATAAAGAATAATGGGGGCTAAAATATAAAGATTATAGGATAATGGTCAAAAAGTATAAATAATGGAGAAAAATGGCCTAAAAATTTAAAGAATACACAAATGATGGATCCCCATCCAGACCCTCATACATGTATACACAGCGTGCATAGACATTAGCTAATACATAATGTGGATTCATCTATTTTTGAGGTTCAGGTATAGGCATGAAAGTCATGAAAATTAGATTCCAAAGAATAGTAATAACTGAACAGTATATAGATATTGCACTGATTCAAATAATTACCTTTTCTTCTAATGATTTACTCTGTACAGGAAAACAGGCCCAGAAATGCCGCAATAATTCAAGTAATGCATTATACTGTGTTTTTATTTCTTCTTGCATTTCTGCTGGCACCATATCTGCAATAAAAATAAAATAAACAAACTGTTGACAAAGAACTTTTTAAATAGTTATTCCAACATTATTATGCTAATGTTAAAATTCAAATGGCAACACTTCACCCATCTTCGCTAGCCAAGGGTTACGATCCACTTCCCTCCTCTCCACCCTTGGCAGATTAAGCCAACATTTGTGATAACAATGTTGTGTCGTCTATCGGTAGATTAAAGTCACGCCCATTCTGGATACATTATTCTTGACCAATGGTAGCACTTGAACTCTTCAATATGGAGGTAATACACGGTAGCATCTAGATTCTACACACTTGGTAAAGCAGGAAACGAAAATATACGTTGACATTCATGCATTTGTGTAAGAAACATACACAGGAACTTCTATTAGTTGATTAAAAACATTTAAATTGTCACTAAATATAGTCGTATGTTTAGGGATGTAAAGACTTGTTGCACAATAAGCATGTGGCAATTGTTTACATACACTATCTACATTTACATGTGATCATGTTATAGGCGTTTTTTGATTGGATGCAGCGAGTTTCGACTGCAACCAATGAAAATCATTACCTTATGTCTTCGAAATTCTATCTCAATCCATAAAGGGTGGAGAGGAGGGAAGTGGATTGTAACCCTTGGCTAGCGAAGATGCACTTCACCATGTATTAACTATTGCCTTTTCATTGCTTCATTTCAAGAAGATTACTATAGTATATAGAGGATTATATTATTTTATAATCAGTTATTTTTCATACTTCAACCTAACTTAAAACATAAAAATAAGGAGATGTTGTATGATTGCCAATCAGACAACTGTTAATATTAAAACAGAGTACAATGATGTAAGCAAATACCGGTTACTGTATAGCCTGCAATAGTGCACCAAAGTCATACCCTAAATTAAGCTATGAAAGGCCCTATGATAACAAAAATAATGTGGTGGGGTAAATGCAAAAATAAGGAGATCTGGTGTTTTTTTAAACATGTTTGTGAGCACTCAACTCTCTGACTACTGACAATGGTGTAACAAACCAACAATAGACGAAATTAAAAAGTCAGTTAATAAGGGGTTGACTCATCAGTATAATGCTAAAAAATCAATAGCACAAAATGCACTTAGAACCTATCAGAGAGATTAGTTAATTGCTAAAAAAATAACAAATCACAAAATGATCGATCTGACAGTTTGTAAAAACATTTAACGAAATATTAGGGTTTAACAGATCTATAAAACAATCTGTAGTAAATCAGTTGATAGGGCCTGACTCAAGGTGATTAAAACCTTCCAGGTAACCTATAATAAGACAAGAGAACCTAAGTACCAATCTCTTCAACTGGTAAAGTGCTAAAAATAACGACTAATAAAAAGACAGTAATGATGCAGTAGACTTGGCAGTGCATATATATAATAACATGGATCAGCCTACTAAGGTTTAAAACAATATTATCTACAAACCAAACTTAAGTTTTATTTCATACAATAGAATGCACGCCAATTATAATTTTCTTACATTGTTTTTTATGTTATGCATAAATAATGCATGGAAACTACCATGGACAAATTTATAAAAATTACTTTTACAAATGATGCAAACAGGGGAGATAATCACATGTCAATAAGACTTGTTTCTTTTAACAAATGATATTAATAACTAAAAAAACAGATATCAAAAGTTAAATTTATAATTCATATGTGCTCATTCTTGTTTATCAATGTGTATGATTGACTGTTGGTGTTACATGTATGTATTTAATGCATATTAAGAACAAAGAAAACAATAAAAAAATAATTTGATTTATTCAGATAAAAAGGTTCTAAAATATGGATTGAACAAGTTGAAGGGTAGAAAGTTTATACTGATGGAAACATAGGGTAAGTTGGAGAGAGACAGACATTTAGCTTTGTAATAGATCACTTAGGCTGAGTTCAGTTAAAGCGCTAGAGAGTCATCTTCAGTTTCATATTCAGAATGAATAAAACAATACATCTTAATTTGATTTATTCTAAAATAAAATGCTCCGCTGAGCGCAGCTTGATATGACTGCAGAGGTCGAACCCTGAACAGTTGGGGCAAGTATGGACACAACATTCAAGCTTGATACAGCACTGAATTTGGATTGTGATTAAATATTTGACACAGCATAGGTTTCTGACACAGAATGAATGTGGTCTAAGAACTTAAAAATTTTAAAATAACCTATTGAAACCATTTCATTATTATTTGCTTTTATATATAAATATCAGAAATAACCAATTTAAAATGGAAAATTTTAGAGAAAAAAAAGGGGGAAAAAAATCCCCCCCCCTCCCCCAACTTTTTGAACCCCCTTATGATTCATCACTCCCAAACTTAATCCCAGCCTTCCCTTTGTGGCATGGTATCTTGAAGTACAATTTCAGAGAGATCCATACACTTGAACACAAGTTATTGTCTGGAAACTAGAAAAATGCTTGTTTTTTGGCCCCTTTTTGGCCCAAAATTCCTAAACGTTTCGGGCAATTACCCCCAAACTCAATTTCAGCTTTCCCTTTGTGATATGGAACCTTGTAGTACAATTTCATAAAGATCCATACACTTACACACAAGTTATTGTCCAGAAACTAGAAAAATGCTTGTTTTTTGCCCCTTTTTGGCCCCTAATTCCTAAAATTTTGAGGCAATTACCCCCAAAATCAATCCCAGCATTCCCTTTGTGGTACGGTACCTTGCAGTACAATTTCAGAGAGATCCATACACTTGAACACAAGTAATTGTCTGAAAACTAGAAAAATGCTTATTTTTGGCCCCTTTTTCCTAAACGTTTTGAGCAATTACCCCCAAACTCAATTTCAGCTTTCCCTTTGAGATATGGAACCTTGTAGTACAATTTCAGAAAGATCCATACACTTACACACAAGTTATTGTCATGAAACTAGAAAAATGCTTGTTTTTTGCACCTTTTTTGGCCCCTTAGTCCTAAAATTTTGAGGCAATCACCCCCAAAATCAATCCCAGCATTCCCTTTGCGATATGGAACCTTGTGGTACAATTTCATAAAGATCCATACACTTACACACAAGTTATTGTCCTGAAACTAGAAAAATGCTTGCTTTTTGCCCCTTTTTGGCCCCTAATTCCTAAAATTTTTAGGCAATTACCCCCAAAATCAATCCCAGCCTTCCCTTTGTGGTATGGTACCTTGCAGAACAATTTCAGAGAGATCCATACACTTGAACACAAGTTATTGTCTGGAAACTAGAAAAATGCTTATTTTTGGCCCCTTTTTGGCCCCTTATTCCTAAACGTTTTGGGCAATTACCCCCAAACTCAATTTCAGCTTTCCCTTTGTGATATGGAACCTTGTAGTACAATTTCAGAAAGATCCATACACTTACACACAAGTTATTGCCATGAAACTAGAAAAATGCTTGTTTTTTGCCCCTTTTTTGGCCCCTTATTCCTAAAATTTTGAGGCAATTACCCCCAAAATCAATCCCAGCATTCCCTTTGCGATAAGGAACCTTGTGGTACAATTTCATAAAGATCCATACACTTACACACAAGTTATTGTCCTGAAACTAGAAAAATGCTTGCTTTTTGCCCCTTTTTGGCCCCTAATTCCTAAAATTTTTAGGCAATTACCCCCAAAATCAATCCCAGCCTTCCCTTTGTGGTATGGTACCTTGCAGTACAATTTCAGAGAGATCCATACACTTGAACACAAGTTATTGTCTGGAAACTAGAAAAATGCTTATTTTTGGCCCCTTTTTGGCCCTTTATTCCTAAACGTTTAGGGCAATTACCCCCAAACTCAATTTCAGCTTTCCCTTTGTGATATGGAACCTTGTAGTACAATTTCAGAAAGATCCATACACTTACACACAAGTTATTGTCATGAAACTAGAAAAATGCTTGTTTTTTGCACCTTTTTTTGGCCCCTTATTCCTAAAATTTTGAGGCAATTACCCCCAAAATCAATCCCAGCATTCCCTTTGCGATATGGAACCTTGTGGTACAATTTCATAAAGATCCATACACTTACACACAAGTTATTGTCCTGAAACTAGAAAAATGCTTGCTTTTTGCCCCTTTTTGGCCCCTAATTCCTAAAATTTTTAGGCAATTACCCCCAAAATCAATCCCAGCCTTCCCTTTGTGGTATGGTACCTTGCAGTACAATTTCAGAGAGATCCATACACTTGAACACAAGTTATTGTCTGGAAACTAGAAAAATGCTTATTTTTGGCCCCTTTTTGGCCCTTTATTCCTAAACGTTTAGGGCAATTACCCCCAAACTCAATTTCAGCTTTCCCTTTGTGATATGGAACCTTGTAGTACAATTTCAGAAAGATCCATACACTTACACACAAGTTATTGTCATGAAACTAGAAAAATGCTTGTTTTTTGCACCTTTTTTGGCCCCTTAGTCCTAAAATTTTGAGGCAATCACCTCCAAAATCAATCCCAGCATTCCCTTTGCGATATGGAACCTTGTGGTACAATTTCATAAAGATCCATACACTTACACACAAGTTATTGTCCTGAAACTAGAAAAATGCTTGCTTTTTGCCCCTTTTTGGCCCCTAATTCCTAAAATTTTTATGCAATTACCCCCAAAATCAATCCCAGCCTTCCCTTTGTGGTATGGTACCTTGCAGTACAATTTCAGAGAGATCCATACACTTGAACACAAGTTATTGTCTGGAAACTAGAAAAATGCTTATTTTTGGCCCCTTTTTGGCCCCTTATTCCTAAACGTTTTGGGCAATTACCCCCAAACTCAATTTCAGCTTTCCCTTTGTGATATGGAACCTTGTAGTACAATTTCAGAAAGATCCATACACTTACACACAAGTTATTGTCATGAAACTAGAAAAATGCTTGTTTTTTGCCCCTTTTTTTGCCCCTTATTCCTAAAATTTTGAGGCAATTACCCCCAAAATCAATCCCAGCATTCCCTTTGCGATAAGGAACCTTGTGGTACAATTTCATAAAGATCCATACACTTACACACAAGTTATTGTC